TTGACAGCATTATCTGCTTTTTCTTTTTCTCCAACCACTGCGAGACACAAACAATATAAAGCTGTTTTCCTGCATTACAACATGAGAGTCTGGACCAACTCTCAACACAACATTTAGMTTTCTGAACAGTGTGAAAATATAAGTACCTAAGATAAAGTTATACTGGGCCAGCTGTGCATTTCTTATTTTCTTSTTTAACGTGCAGCTTTGGTCTAGATCCACATCTGACATAAATCCTGCTTCAAAAAAATCACTGCAAACCTAAAACACAAACAAACAAACAACCCCCCCCCACACACAGATGTATATACRTTCTGTATCATGGAACAGCACATCCTGTAATCTCTTCCAAGAAGTAATTCACATACGTGCATATTTTTGCTATTTTGAATGGAAGACAGTGAGGTTATTTGAAGAAAACTGCACACAGACTTAAGAAGAGCTCTGCCAAGCCCTTAAGAGGACARTATGATGAAACATCCATAGGAAAGGTCTGCTGATCTCCTTAGACAGCTGCACTGCTGAATGTCAGAAAGGTTTCCTCAGCCATAGAAGGGAGGAAGAGGAGAAGGAGCAGTTATTTAATGCAAGCATAAATTACAAAGGGAGAAGGGCGGTAAAAGCATGCATACTCAAATACAGGCAAGAACATATGTGCTAGGGACTGGAGGAAACTGGTTCCATTCTTTAAGCAGATACATTTCATTATGGAATGTGACTAACTGTATGAGGGTTTTTCTCCCTTTTTTTTTTTTTTTAATAATTAGTGAGGTATGTATATCATAACACAGCCCAAGATATTTGTTACAACCCCCCCCACACCCCAAATTTTACACAATGAAAGCTTTTACCCATGGAAATAATGCCTGCAATGTCAGTAGTTTAGAAGCAATCATTTATCACTCTAGGACAAGCATTTGGGAAGCAAACGTCCTGCTACTATGAAAAGGAGGGCTCTGTTCTCACCTGCCGGGCATACTCCTCAGAAGTAGGTCCCACAGGTACAACCATGACCTGCCGCGGAGACAGCCAGAACGGCCTAGCAGGTACATCAACAAAGACACCAAAGACACCAATATTAGCAGTATTTCCCCCAAACTCACTTTTTTACTTTATAAAATAACTATGCAAGCTAAAGATGGTAGCTACACATTACATTCACTCTTTCCAGTTCACATAAAATGGAAAATAGATTGATCTTGGTTGAGTGACACACGYRTAACTGTGAGCTTCTGTTTGCTTCTTAGCTGATSTCACAATTGTTGAAATTGTTAACAGAATTTTGGTTTTACACGTATTATCCACCTTTATTACATGCCTGTATTTATGCCTTTATTGTTCATTATGATATACAGGAAGCATCTATAGCTTCTAGCTACACAGTCAAGTGTTTCTTAAAACTATTTGTGTCACTTACCATTTTCCTCCATAGTTTTCTGCTAGAATAGCTATCATTCTCTCCACAGACCCCAAGATAGCTCTGTGAATAATTACTGGCCTTTTTTTATCATCACCATCCTTCCTGGAAAAGATAGRTAAAGGTGAACAAAACAAAAAACGCTCTTCTCCTAGCCCACACACAAATTACCAATTTTGAGGGCATTTAAAAAAAGATAAGTAGTTTAACCACTCACCCAACATAGGTAAGATTAAACCGAATAGGTAGTTGGAAGTCAAGCTGGATCGTAGCACACTGATGGTACCTGCCAATAGCATCTTTGATTTTAATATCAATCTGTAAAGCAAAATATCACAGTTACTAGGTACAGTTTATCTGAATCTCTTCTTGTTCCAAAGCTGTATGAAAATACTAATTCACTAACCTTGGGACCATAAAATGCTCCATCACCCGGATTCAACTTCCATGATTCTCCAAAGTCATTGAGGCTGCTTTGAAGTTGCTAGTTATATACATAAATAAAGAAGAAAGTTAAAACTTTGATAGGGCTTTCCATTACTGTAAAAATGATGCACTAGATCATGTCGCCTCTGAAAAATGGTGCTTCCCTTGTACATTGTCATGCTCCCCATTAGCAGTGTGACTCCTACTGTTCAAACATTCAGTCATTTATGATAAGTAATCTTGAAATATGAGGAGCTTCTTATGAAAACTTTGTGATTATTCCCAAATTAAAAAAAAATAAAGAGTTCAAAATAAGGATCTAACAGCCTGACAGTTGTCATTTTCTACAAAATGACTGTATCTTGTACAACTTTCCATTTAGAGTATTTAGCATCTGCTTTTAAAAAACTCACTAATTTCAGCATTCAACATGAAATAAATTAAATATCCATTTCTGAAACAGCAAATATTAAGRTTCTTTATGAATTACCTTTTCAGCATGATCCCAGATATCTAACTCTCCTAAATAATTTTCAGGCCTTGTAGAAAGATGCAGTTGAAAGGTAAAACCAAAGACAGCATAAACAGACTTCAAGAAATCAAGACAGCCCTTAATTTCTTCTTCAATCTTAAACACAAAAAAAAAGCTTTAAATCAAAAACCTGTTAATAAAACAGAAAAGGAAYTGGATTTGCAGTACTCTTAGTACTCTTCATCATCAGGTTTTAGCAGTTTCTGTGCAAACAAATGCATATGGATATATTTTCAAAAGGTCCATCATTAATTTTTTTTTTTTCCTACAAACCTAAGCCTACATTGAAGAACTCTGGCACTGTGGCTTCAAAGCATCAAAAGACAATATTCTTACTAAGCCTAGTCTTCTGGAGCCAGGTTTTTATACAGTGTGTCAATTTATTCACATAGTTCCGCTGAAACCTGTGGAATTACTGTCTGAAAAAAGCATTTACTCAGTACAGATAGCAAAGTGACTGCCTTTTTTATATCTTTATAAAAGAAAAAAAAGTCTTAGTAATTTACAGTTAATAACATCTGAGAGATGTTATCTTCTTYTCTATAATTATGTCTTAACCTTAAAAAAAGAAAGCAAAATACGCAAGTTGCAGGCATTCGATAAATTTTGAACTGAGAAGTTAAGATCAACAACTATTGACTCGAGTAGTACCACAGAAGGCTAAGACATATGGAATTCAATGCAAGAGGGAAGCAACCTAACAAAAAACAATAAAATCACACAAATGAAGCTTTACACTCCAAAACAACACAATGGAAGAAAATAAAAAGTGGAAATACTTTAGGTTTATTTTGCTTGAGGGGATGTTGTTTAGTTGTTGTTTTTACCTGTTCCATCGTGCAAAAGATGTGAGCATCATCTTGCTGGAAGCGCCTAACACGAGTTAAGCCACTTAAAGTCCCGGAGAGCTCATTTCGGTGAAGAACTCCAAAATCTGCAAGTCTAAGAGGCATTTCTCTCCAGGATCGTGGACGATGAGCGAACATCAGGCTAGAAGGAAAATCAAAGAGCCTTGTTCTAATCCTTCACATACAAGACAACACAGACACTAGAACAAGTTTAATAGAGACAGTAACCACATTTTTAGATATTTATTCATTCAAGTTGTCTGCATTCTAAGAGGCARGCAAGGGGAGAACCCGAGCCACCTGGCTTGCTAAAAACCACTTGTTAAAAACCTATCTGTTGACTTCTACCTCCTTTCGAGGCACGGKATCTTATGCCTATCCATGCCCAACTAATGCCATACTTCCCCAGTGGGGCATACTAGAATTAGCACAGAGAAACTTAGCTCATTTAGGAGGAGGATCTTTCAGTAATTCTGCACCAGAACTGCATTTGGTCTGCTTAAGACACCTTGAGTTCTCTGGACAAGTCAATTGCATAGAAAAAGTAGCCCATTGCACAGCTAGCACGCACGGGATAACATGCACTGATACTCCCTTAGTTTCCCTCCAGCACACACAGCATAGATGTAGAAAAAATAAGAGCATTTTTCAGCTGAGGGTACAAACCAATGTCCTGGACAGTTCATCGGCTTAAGGGCAAAAGTCTCCTTCTCAACCTCAAAAGAGAACATATTTTCACTGTAGTGCTGCCAGTGTCCTGAAGCCTCCCAGAGTTTACTGTTGAAGATGTTTGGGGACACAACTTCAGTGAAATTACGCTTGTGATATTCCTCCTATAAAACAAATTCATTATTTTTAAAGGCAGTGCAGACATAAAATTACTTCCAACAAGCAAAATCCTGATTCTGTAACTGTATGATTATGATAATTTACTGGGAGACTAAAGGGCCACTACACACAAGTTTTACACATGTGGAAAAAGCACGTCGATTAAGAACCCTTTTCCTAACCCTAGTTTGAAAAAGGCTGGATCTGTATTAACCTAGTGAAATTCTGGCATGTGTTTTTTTCTTTGTGAGGGTAGTTCAGGGCTGTGAAGGACATATCACTTAAATCAAGATCACAGCTGATATTAAGCACATGCAGAATTACATCAGTATCTACTCACTCTTATGAAATCCACAAGTGTATTATAAAGAAAGGCACCTCTGGGGAGGAAAAAGCAGCTTCCAGGACTCAAATCGTGGAAGAAGAAAAGTTCTTGCTCCTACAGCAATTAAAAAACATAATTAGCATAAGACTACTTCAACTGTATCTCCAGGTGTTGAACTTGACTGATTTTAACTCACATGTTGACACTTTGTTCACCAGAGTAAAAAGACAACAAGGTGATTTCTACAAATTCTCAGTAACAAAACTTATTTCACTTCTAGTTCTTACTCTTAGAAGCTTTACAGTAGTATCTTAACTTTGTGACCATCTAAACACATTTCCTCAGAGAAAAAAAAAAAAAAAAGATTCAGAAATCTTACTATTAGTGGCCCAAACAACTAAAACACCTATCCATCAGGTATSAGAGTTGATGGACAAAGAATATGAAACAGTCATTCCTTTTCAGAGCTCAAAAACACAGCCTCAGAATTGTGGTTCTGCTATGTCATCTTTGGAGAATCTTATCTCCCATATACCCATAGCAACTAGACACCCATATACTTGGTACTTTGTTGGATGGATACTTGATCTTTTCATTTTCCAAAGAAGTAATCATAGAGTTAAAAAAAAAAAAAAAGGACAAATATCGAAATCTTAATGGACTGATAGGAACAAGCATGAACACTTCAGCAAAAACCATCTTTCTACACACTCACTCGGTCACTGCTCTCCGCATCCCTCGGCTCTCTCCTTGTGCTGGGCTGGCTGGTTCATTTGTGCCCACCGAGGTCCTTCACCTTCCCTTTCTCGTAGCCACCAGCAAGTACAGGGAGTTTCATGCCTGCATCCTCCTGGCTACTACCTTTCACATGCATTCACGTGTTTCAAATAAATCTCTTCTTGCTTCACATATCATTCCTACTGTGCTCTTTAACATCCCCAAAGTTATGTGCTATGTTGCTTCAAACCTCTTCTGTTGAAATGTCATTTGCAAATAWATACAAAATAATAGCAAAGGAGACAATAGTTGGGCAACTGATTTGGGAATCACAGCCTACCAGCAAGGCCTATACACAGTCTATCATTGTAACTGACTCCCACCTGAACTGCCCAGATATTGGAAAACAAAGGAAGGGAACAGATTACTTTGCAGGATTATAGAAGGACATAAAAATAATGTACCTTTCCAATCTTCCTATGATCCCGGTTTCTGGCTTCTTCTTGGAATTTTTCCCATTCCTTCATCATTTTGTTATCAGGGAAGGATATTCCATAAATTCTCTGCAGAGTCTCCATGTCTGCTTTTCCTTCCCAATATGTAGAGGAATTCTTACRTGGGAAAAAATACATATATATATTAAGATAGTATTATATAATGTCAGGAAAAGGAAGAATAAACATCGATCCACTTTTATGATTTTTTCCTTGGGAAAAGATCTATTATCCAGTCATCCAGCAATTGCTTATAACATGCAGATTCTTACACCATCTTTTAGTCRGGATACTAACACAGAAGGCATAAATACAAGTGACTGGTCATGTATTTTTTTTCTACTTGGCTACCTTATTTTAACTCACACCTTGTCATGTTTCATTATTTCCTATTTGATCCTCTAAGAGGCAAGCACTTGTTTAAGTTCAAAACAATGCAGTAAGGAAACAGTAAAGACTGAAAAATGTAAAAATAACACTCTCTCTCTGTTAAGTCCTACCTGTTTTGACAATCAAGTATTTAAGCTCCGTATCTCAGAGTCCCACATTTCAGTGAGGAATCCAGGAAAAGCAAGGGTGCCAAATGCTCCTATGAGGTCAGTCTAGCAAGGCTAGCAAAATTTTAACTGTGTAGTATTAGTTTCCTGCAGATGCTATCAGGGGCATCTGCAAACACTAGTTCTAGGTTTCACGTGAGCAACRTCATTTTTGAAGAGCAGCACTTGCATATCTGCAATTTTTCACTTTACCTCCTGTATCTCTAAAATTCCATCTTACTAAGTCAGAACAGTATTTCCTGGCCCAATGAACGTGGATGCTTATTTAATACAGAACACAGCATGGACAGCACGGCACTGGGTGCCGTAACCCCTCCTGATCCAAGCTGGGCCATCTGTGCTGCACAGCACAACGCTGGCTGCAGATACGAGCGCAGGGCAGCCACCAGCACTGACGTATTTGCTTCTGGATGGAGCCCGCTGCAGCTGCTTCCTCAGCTAATCTAGTCAGCACTAGCTGGGGTGCTTTTTGCACTGCTCTTCCTTACAGGGCAGGCATGTGCGTAACTACACTTGTGTAACTGCTCTGATAAAAAGAAGTTATGCTCTTAACATTCACTGTTATAATGGTAAAGATGTGACGGTAAAGAAACAGTAAACCTTGGAAGTCTCTGTTTTAGTTAAGTTTACAAGCATGGTTATCCTATGGAGTTACCTTAAATATTTTAAGGGCMTTAATTTTTCCAGTGTGTCTCACATGTGGGCCCCTGCAGAGATCAATCAGTGGACCACATCTATAAATCAAAATAAGAGGTTATTTTAAAACTCAAACATTTTAAAGTAGAGTCACGAATGACCTACTAGCATAATGACATATTGTTTGGTTTTAGTAGGCATGCATGTGCAAATTAAGCATCACACAACACTCAGTAAACTCAGGGCACCTAGCCATATCTTTTATGAGCATTTATCCCGTAAAAACTCAGTACACTTGATCCCCTACAAGGGCATCATCACACACCCAGCAATTCACACAGGTCCACATGTAAGCTTTGCCAAAGGTCATCAAGAAGTTTCAAACAAAACACTTCTGACAGCAAAAATAGTTCTGTTATTCTGCAACTGAATGAACCTCACCCTGCACAGAGTTGGCTTTTCCCATAATTTAGCCATACAATCCATTAGTGATAACCTGCTTTAACATTTTCCTTGAAAGCAGAGGCAATTAGTAAAAAGTGGGCTTGCCATTTGCCTACCAGTGAAGATTTGTCCAAGCAGAGAAAGAAAAGGTATTAACATAGAAAACGGTATTAAATCAAAATCTAGGTCCCTAATCACACCAGTTCTCTGAAAATGGAGTAAAGAGTTCCTTCTCCTCTCAATTTAAATCAAATACACCCAGCTATAGAAATATTTTGTAACATCTTTYTATTAACTTTGTTTACCTGTATATTGTAGTAGTTGGCGTGTCAACTTTCTCATTCAGGATACGACATTTAAACTTGTTATACTACATGGGAAAAGCAAAAAGTTAGGAACATCATTACAACAACTACTAATATTCTAAAATTATGTATTAATATAAATCCATCAGTAAAAACACATATACACATACACATGTCACAAGTTCAACATTCCTTCCAGAAGAGTTATAAATCACCGGTTGAAAGAAGAAAAGTATCTCCCTCAGAGCAAGTTACACATGGTCATTACCACTTGAACAGCTCAAAGCYGATTAATACATGATAAAGCAAGTCTTGTAATACTTGCTACACAAATGGAGTGCTAGAGAAAACAGCATTTAAACTTTTTCTTGCAAGACAGCCAAAAGGAATGTATACTTTTTGTGTACCAATATCTTTGTAATCTGAATTTGTGGTGTTTTTGAGGTGTAAGCAATTGCTTATTTCTTCAAAACAACCTGAAGACTGGGAGGGCAAATACAGATGCTGTAGTTTGTTTTTGCTGTACTAGATAGACCCAATTCTGCTAAGTTAGTCACATCCTCTGTTTAATAAAAATTACAGTTTTAAAAGGTGATACCAGAATCACAGGTGCTTCAAAGATTTACCTTAAACATGTCTAGTAGAATCTCCTTTTTGACTTCTAACCTTTCAAAAGGCTGCTTCTCTTTTATAATATTTTTACAGCAGTTCTCCAGAACTGGGAATTCAGAACTTGATACACCTCTAAACAAATAAGGGCAAAAGAAACAGAAGTTATTTATATTGATGTTCCCATTTTTAAGCAACCATTTGCTACTGTTCTACTTTGAAAAACAAATATACTGTTATTATTTGTAAGACTTTCTTTGCTTCTTGCAATCAAGTGTATTTCTAGATGCCAAACTCAGAAACAAAGACTATCATCCTGAACAATCCCAATGAAATAACTCAAAAACAGTCTTTGATATGTCTAACTGTCTGGAAGATCAGCAGCTCAAAGCATATATGCTGTATGAAAACGCTCAAGTCAGCTGCGAGAGGCAGTTTATCAGCTGACGCAGATTTTTCATTTTCCCTGACTACACAGAGATAAATGAGGGACACAGAATTGTGAAAGCTGCACACAAGGATTAGGCAAGTAAACACCTATGAGCTACATGTGTACGTGCACTTCTGCAAATGGCTAGGTCATTTTGGGAATGAGCTTCCACACTTCTTCAAGGAAATGCTGTCTCCTGTATCTCTCACTAAGTTTTACACAGTGTTTTGTAGTATCTTCAACAGCTCTAAGTCTTACAGAGCAGAGGTCTAAGAACTGCTCTTGAATTTAAAAAAAGAAACAAGTATAAATACATACATGTATAGTATACAATGAAGAACATTGGTTATTTTTAAACCACATCTGCTATACTTTTTTGCTTTTAACATGCAGGGACCTGAACAAGCAAAAAAATCAATCAGTCTTTAACCCCAGGGTTTTATTAAAGTCCCTCAAYGTTTTACCTATCTTCAATGTACATGTCATAATAAAATCCATTCTCAATAGGTGGTCCGTAGCACAAGCAGCCACCAAAATAACTTTCCATGGCTTCTCCAAGAATATGAGCGCTTGAATGCCAATAAACCTGTAAATAAATAAAGTCACCAGAGCAAATCATGGACTACTGATGCTGCAGGCTCGACAAAATGAAGAGCATAAACATAGGCTTAAGTCTGAATCCCACAAAACTCAGGCATGGGACTCTGTCTMTATTCATCATTTAATTAACCAATTAATTCTAATTAAAAGTTTCTAATTAATAGAATAAAAGTCTCTAATAAATATTGCAAGTACMGCATATATACATTTATGGTTCAAATCTGATACTGGACAATTTTTAGAACAGTCTAAGCCACACTTGCTTCCAGGGTCTCATCATCAAACACTCAGACTAAATCAAACACATGGGACACATGCACCTTTAAAATATCAAATTATTTCAAATTTACATATGAATTCAGACATGAAGTATAAAAGCTAACTCTCAAACAAGAAATAACCAGTTTATGTAAAAGAGGAGGACAGAAGAGGCCCTTATGGCTTTATTCAATTCTAGATTCCAAGTATTGAACATTCTTTGACTTCACAAGTCAGTTTAACAAACGTAATCTGAAAAGTTGTTCAGATTTTTTTTTAATTCAAGATTTAAAAGGCATAATACTGCAATCAAATCCATGCCAGTAGTTTTCAGTCATGTAGATACCAGAGAGTGTTTACTTACAGCTTGTGCCTCTTCATTATCAAACATAAGCAGCTCCAGAGCGCAGTCTCCCTCCAGCGGACGATCCAGATCCCACAATTCACCATTTACTTTTGCAATGACTGCATTTGAAGCCAATCCCTGGCTGAAAAACACAAATGAAGGCATGAGACCAAAACACTTGGGTTTATATTTGTGAAAACACTTAGGTATCTAAATACCGTGAGACACTGCTCTACATCTTCTACCATCTAAACCTTTATATTTTTCTGCTTTTAAGGAACAGACAGTAAATCTTTTGAAWGGCTTTACCTTATTCTACAGTTTTCACTGCTGGGGATGAGGAAAGAATACTGCTTGCAGGAATAGATTTTTACAGTTATCTGCCGACTCTTAAGACTTGAAATAAATACTAGCAGTCTTCCTAGTTTTACTAAGTCTTACTAATTCCTAGTCTTACTGCTAAGACTTTGATAGASAGGGGAAGTGACTACTATGATCAGAACATGCCCTAAAGCATCACCCAGAACAGTAATTTCATCCAGCTATAGCTACATTAARCTCCAGTTTCAGCAATGCTTTCCAAATAATCCAACATCAGAGAGTTGCCCATCTAACCCTGACCRTGAATGTAACTGGGTAAGATAGAAATGTCAGTAACAGATTTACCACCACAAAAGTACAAATCCTTCAGCCTGCAGGTTACCTAATTCCTAGAGCTAACTGATACGGTGTGGTTTTCCAAGATTCCCCTTCGGCAACCTTTCCATCTGCCAGGGTAATTTTGATCGGTTTGCTCTGGTTGGCCGCTCTGTCAGCCAGTAAAGCATCATGTTCTTTTTTCAGAGCTTCATAAAGCTTCAGTCGGTCTTCTATAAAGCTTGGCTTACGCTGCAAATAAGCATATAAAATATATAAAACCATACACAATCACTAGAAAATAAAGAGCTTGAGAAATYGAATACAAGAGTTCACAATGTTCATGCATCCCTGGAGGCACCAACTGAGATCAGGTTTCACTGTGCTAGAACTTATATTAAGATGCAGTAACATATCTGTAAATAATTATGCACCGGGTAGTTCTTTTCACCTTGCTGACTCCTCTACCATGGACTTCAGTTGTTGGGTCATTCATTCATCTGCGCCTTCATCCATCTGTGCCCAAATAGCACAGCCTGTTTTGCCTTCAAAAAGGACTAYGTGTTCCTGCTGCAGAACTTTTATTTGACTGACTTTTCCTTTTTGTCTGGCATAAAAAGAATGACTACAACCTCTTAACTGCAGCTACTGCTGTTYGGCTCCTGCGGGTTTCCCCTGCATCACCAGTACGTGACTGCTCACGGAATACCTGTGCGCCCCGCAGGTGCTCCCTTCCCAACAGCCCAAACACTCCTGTCACAGACGGAGCAGAGGGCCGGCCAGGTCCAGCAGGGACTGCCCGGAGGCGCAGGACGCCCAGATCCGCGGTCACGGCCAGGCGCGCCACGGAGCCGCCCGGCCTGCCAGCCCCGCAGGCAGCCCCGGCCCCGCAGTCCCCGCGGGGACACACCGGGATCCGCCCGTACCTCGCTTCCGTGCGCGGTCACCACCGCGCTTTGCTCCTTCTCCCCGCCTCCAGGCTTATTCTCTGCGGGAGCCGCGCTGCTGGCCCCGGAAGGTTCCTGGAAAGGGACAAGGCGGAGGGTGACTCGGCGCAGGGCGCCACGACAGCCGCCTCGCGCGGGGCAGGGCCGGCTGGGCCGCGGCCCAGGCGCCCCCG